CTTATATACATCAAAGTCTTCGTTCTCTAACTCCCTATCATTTAACCCCCGTGATATCATTTTAAAGTTTCGATTGATCATGAAATGTTTCTACATTAATCCTAATTGTTTAAATAGTTTTCATGAACAATACCAGGACAAGTTGGCCAATTTAGGCACTTGAATCCCTATGGCATGATCCCACAAAAACATGAACTTTAAACATGATCAATAACATGTACAAATCAGTAGTTATCCATCAGACATATAGTCAATGCCACAAGGTCATACTTACAATCCACGCCTTAATGAGATACGTATTCAGCACAATCTACCTAGTTGATGTCACTACGTGATCAAGCAAGAGTCCTGAAATTTGTACATATGCCATGATAATACAATATCTAACACGATATTAGTCACACTTTAAATATCTATCTGTAAATGGATTCGGGTGCTCAGTTTGGATTCAAGTACATATAGGTTCATATAAGGTAACAGTGTCATACAAGTTATTAGTATAACTTATTAATACATAAATGTAAAGCTTTCGACCATAAAGACTTAGAGGAACAAAATAACAGGGGCTTTTATGCAAAGGTTTCAAGCAGGTGTTGGCTAGATTTTTGGCTATAACTTGGTCATAAGATGTTACCAGCTCACTGGTTGTTTCATTAAGGACGTTCATATAGGTAACTAATCAAAGCAAAAAGGATGTAAAGCAGTAGTATTTGTAAGAATCTTAAATTGGCTAAAACATAGGAAATTCCCTAGTTATAAGGACCTAAATTTGACTTTAAAAAGAAAGTTGTGTTCTGATCCCTCTTCTCAATAAGTTTAATTGACTTAAAGGATAAACCCTACGACTAAGAAAACTAACATTTGAAATAAGGATTGTTTTTGCAAAATTGGAAAGTTTGGATTTGTTAACAAATCTCTAGAAAGAATCCCTACAATTTAGGAAAACTAATTAAGTGCATCAAAGATAAAATAAATATTCTTTAGAAAGAGAATATAAATATATCTCCTGTTAAGAAAATAGTTTAAACTAAAATATTTGAATCTTACAATGTTCATGAAAGCATAGTTTTCAAAACATCCTTGGAAATTGTCAACTAAACTTGAAACTTAAAAAGGGGGAAATATACAAAACCAAGACGTAACCGCCTAGCAATAGCTATCATGAATTCTCAACCAACAACATCATAGAATCATGGATAATGTCATTACCTTGGCAATAATAACTTACATTTTATAAACCAAGCCGAGAGTAGAAAAATTTACTAAAATATAATAGTGGATACCCATCTAATAATTTATCTCATGCACTGGACATAATAAAAGTGCTTTCACTTGATTGGTGCTTTTGAACAATGATAGGGAAGTTTTCCTTCATGGACTTAGCATGAAGATCTAAAGAACTAAATATGGTTAGTAGTAAGAAGAGCTATAAATAAAAATATCAAAATAAATTTGAAATCAGTAAACATATGCAAAGTAAATGTATGAAAAAAATAACAGGAAACTGTAAGAATTAGTTGATTTACACCTACACATATACAACACATGTATGAACTTGAACTTAATCAAAAAGCAGATATTCCAAACATATACTAGAACAAGAACTGCCCAAGGATCATGAATTGTATGGTCGATAATTAGATAGGAACAAGGAAATAAAGAGATTGCAAATTGGACATAAACTTCAATCTATTTATAGCTCTTGCCATCAAACATTCATAGAGTAAACAAAAATCCTTTTGCCTTGTGTATGACTTGTTTCTCTCTAACAACTAAAGAATCAAGATAAAGATTTAATAAAAAATTATTTATCAGATGTGTAGTCGTACCATAAAAAGTCTTGGATGTAATCAAACCGAAATTTCATCTAGGCATACGCATGTGATAAATAGATTTGAGAATTCATAGATCTATCGTTCATGAATCAAGGAGCAACATACACAATAAATTGTAATTGTGAATAATATGATTGGATGAACTTCTAGCAAAAAATCATAAATGAATTGAGATCAGAATGAAGTACGAATAAACAAGACCAAAGAGAGAAGTGAACACTTGCCTCGATTGCCAAACGAAAGAGCCTCCTCCTCTAGATCGCAAAGACTCTGATCTCTGTTCCTTTTTTTTCTTTTTGTTCCCGTAAGAAGTATGAGGGAGAGGGATCATGGGACTAGTTTTTAAGGACATGAGTTTGTTAAGATTACTTTAGATTTAGAGATTATAGATTTAGTAGTTAAGATATTTTCTAGGATAAGGATTTCAATTAAATGGATTTTTTGAGCTTAACTTTAATTGGACTCAATACCAAATGATCAAAAAATCATTTGCATATTAAATCTCAACCTTATTTTGCACTAAAAATATCAGCCATCACATAGTCTATGTGGATGACTTAATCATCAATAAAAATGGCAAAGCAAGGGAAAATCTCCCGTCGGGTTTCAATTGAAGGAGTTGGTGAGCTCAAACATTTTCTTGGATTGGAGGTTGATCATAGAAATGATGCATTTGTCAAGAAAAGTATACAAAAGACATGTTGTTCAAGAATGGAATGTTAAATTGCAAGCTAATCTTGACGCCCGAGGCTGTACGCACATGAAGGAAAAGATTTGGAAGATCCAACTATGTAGCGATAGCTCCTTAAAAGTTTGATTGATTTGACGATGTCAAGGCTGAATATTGCATTTGCGGTTGGTGTGATGAGTCGATACATGCAGAAGCCAAAGAAGTCTCACTTTGAAGCAATCCGAGGAATCCTAAGGTACGTCAAAGGCACAATTAACTATGGTCTCTTATAAAAGAAAGAAGGATATGTGAGGCCTACGACTATTGTGATGTTGACTATGCTGGAGATCACGACACTCCAATGTCTACTATTGGATACGCCTTCAATGTTGGCTCAATAGCCATAGCCTATATCTTTAATGTAGCAAAAAGCAATCATCGGTGTCATTGTCAACTATAGAGGCAGAATACAGATTAGCAGTGATGGCTGTGATGGAGGATCTATTTCAACCTATAGACTATTTAGTAGCTTTGCGTTGCGATAACGAATATACAATTCAATTTGCAGAGAATCTAGTTTCATGCAAGGACAAATCATATCAAAGTACATCATCACTTTCTATACTTTCTACGATAGAAAGTTCTTCAGGAAGAGATCATAATGAAGCCGTTCGGAGCAAATAAACAAGTAGTTGATATATTCATCAAAGCTGTGAGTTTTTTCAAAGTTTGTAGAATGTAGAAATAAACTTGGCCTTATGAATAGAGAAGTCGGTACGGGTGGAGAGTGTTAAAACCATCATCGACCCATGTGATTTACTTAGGGTAGATGCAATAGGGCCACCAAACATATGAAAAATATTGAAGCATGTGCTTGATGCTTGGCAGGTAAACCTACAATGGATATTTGTTTCATAGCTAAAATAGAGAGGGTAATGAAACTCTATATACAATGGATATTTGTTTCATAGCTAAAATAGTAGAGGTATCCCAAGCCAGTGAAAAAATAGAGGGAGGGAGGGAGGGATAATTAAATATTTTATTGTGTCCACCACCTTTCTCTATACAACACACCACCCGAGACCATTGCTGATGATTGTTTTCATAGCAGTGTTGGCGGAATTGAATGGATGCCACGTAAGTTGGACCAATCCCCACATGTAGATGTTTCTAGTATAATTGCAGAGTGGCATATTTTTAATATTTTGCATGTCATTACTTGTTTTTGATATTTTCAACATTTCTATTAGGGATTTCTATTAGGGTGGTATTGCCTTAAGTATGATATATCTTATTCCTCGACCAGTAAGGCATGTCTTTCTTTCAAGTAGATGTTTCAATGCAATGTGGGTGACAAAGGGACATGGGTTGAATATGATGGAAACTATTCAGGGGTAATATAAAGAAGCTACAGAACTTGCAAGCCTAGAGAGACTGGAATATATATTGGTCAGGATGATATCTTTGGCTTTGGATTGGCTTGATGATTCAATGGGAACATGTTGAGTTGGCTGGCTTCGACCATTAAATGAGATCCATTCTCTAATGCACTGTGAAATTTTGATGACTTTTGGAATAGTGGTTGATCATCTTCTTGCATTGGGAATTTGGAAGTGACAGATTTGCAGCCAGATACCTGATGCAACTTGGAGATTCTACCCAAAAAAAAAGTGACTGGTCTTATTACAAGCCCAAATAAACTAGTTGTTGTGGGTACAAACCGGCAAGTCCAAGTTTCATCAGGCAAATGCAGTAGAGGATTAAAGTTAATCCTCAACGAGCTTGGATAGTTGAGATCTCATTAAAAATAAAAATAAAAATCCTCTGATTTTTTTCTTCATTTTATTCTCAGCATGACTAGGGTGAGCTTAGAAGAAGTTTGCTGTTCAAAGTCTTTATGTGGACATGTAGCAGAAACAGCTAAACACAGAGTTGAAGTATTAAGTTCCTTTGATGTGGGTGTGATGGTTTTTCTTGATTCGATTGATAGATCTGTTGGAGCAAAGATGAATGACACAAGATATTGTTTGTTTCTGTATATAATATTATTTGACCCACAATAAGGATCCACATATTTCTCGGATTATGGTTCAAAAGATCCCCTATATTGTTGCTTGGTTCGAGCATCAGTTATCCTAAAGATAGTTGGCTCTTATTTGATAAATTGATTTAGCATTTCACTTTTAGCTTTTACCTTCATATCTTCTCAAGTCTTATTTTAGTATGTCTCCGCTCAACATTGAATGTGCTGATGATGAACAGTTTCAGCTGATTTGCTGAATTGCTGCTTTAAAAAAAAAAAATTCTCTCTATTATGAGATTTTAAGATGGCTTGAGACAACTATTTGATCTCCTTGCAGTCCCCTTATTTTTTCTTCATAGTGTTATTACAATGCTTCTACAAAATTGGTTAACATACAATTTTTTTCTTCTAACTTCTATGTTACTTGTCGAAGAAATTAACTGATATAAATTGTGCTATTTGGAATTTGCAGATTGAAGGGAGCCTGAACACTTGGTCGATGGCTACAGACTGCATTGATCTTGTGTTAGCATCTATATAGTATCGGCATCATTTTTGCCCCACAAAAAACTTTTTAGCTCTTGTGATTTGATAGATGTACTTATTATCAGTTTAAACTAATCCATCCTTTATTCATTGTTGTTGTACATCGTAACCTTGGCTAGGTGTTTGGCAATCTGAAAGTGAATTTAAAATATGTAAGTTATTTTTTTTTTGCAAATGACTTTTACATCAATGTCAGCACGCAAGTGAAATACAGTGTTTGTTTAAAAAATTAAATTATTATCGAAAGTGCAATGTAAAGATGACATGGCAAAATAAGATTAATTAGAGAGTATAATTAAAATTATTTAATTAAATTATTATCGAAAGTGCAACGTGAAGATGGCGTGAATCTCATAATAATAATTTTTAGTGTAGTTCACGGGTTCTTGTCAACCGGCAGTTATCAGAAGTTTCCCTTCATTATTGTCTGTCTGGTAACGACATCAATTTTGTGTCCACGAAAAGATGAAAAGAGTGCAGATAACTATTGTGATTGCAGCATCTCTTAAACACTGGAGCAGCTAAAGAAGGTTCAGTTAAATAGACAACAACAATGAAGTCTTTATTCTAAATTTTGGGATCGATTACAAGGTTCTATACAAATATATAGCAACAATAACAAATTTTATCCCAATTTTTTGGAATTGACTACTTGATGAAATGTAACTTACAACCAAAATAAATAAATAAATAAATAAAACAAAATAAATCATGAGATAAACATGGAAAAAATAAAATTAATCAAAAGGAACTGCCCACTTAATGGTTGATGCCGATGTGTAGCAAATATGTGAACGTGCAATGTTACTCTATGTCTTCCCTAATCATCAAATTCCTGCAAGTGCTCTATGCTATCAGAATTCTCTCTTTAACATCTCAAACAAAACCTCATTCCAAATATCCACAATCCCTGGCATGCACCAATGCACACAATCCTCAGCTACATTTTTCATCCTCACCTTTCTACCATACTTTCCAGCATGTCCATCATTTCGATAACCAGACAGCTCCGTAACATCCATAAATCTCAACCTCAAACCATTCCTCAAAGTTTTCGCAGCCTTCTCAAATTTAACAACCTGCACTTTCTCCATAGAATTCGTATACCCACTCCTGATCGATTTTCTCGCAGGTTTATCAATTCCACTACAACCCCCACCCGAGTTCCATCCTCCACTAGTATAATGCTCGGGTGAATAAGACCGCAATATTACCAACCCTGTATAATTGGAAAATTCAAGAATGTAACTTAGGGTTGTTTGCAATGCAATATCATAAAACCCAAAAATGTCCTTCTTTTTACGCGTTTTCTTTATTGTGTTGTTGAGGAGGTAGGTCGTTTCGGTGCTGAACCAGTGGCCGGAGGAGAGAATGAGAACATCGAATTCGGGGAGGAAGTTGATGAAGGACTTGTCGGGAGTGTCGAGATGGACGTTGACGGAGCGTGGAGATGAGGAAGGGATGGGGAGGGGGGTTCGAGCCATGCTGACCAGATGCGGATTATGGTGGTGGATGTGGATCGAAAGTGCCATTTGTGCATTTGACGGTTCCCGTGGTTGATGGGGACTTCTGTCTGTTAATGGAGAGAAATGGAATGGATGGCATAAGTATGACATGATGAGAAAAGAAGAAACTACACAACAACAGTAAAGCCTTTGTTTTTTATTTTTTTTTTAGGGTCTCTTTGGCAACTCCACGAGGTTATAACCTAGTTAAGGGCTAAAATTATGTTTGGGAAAAACTGTGCCAGAATTGTTTTCGTTAGTTCCAAATTTTTTTCCTTTAAACAGTTTAGTTCTAGATTGGAGGGAGGCGGTCCGAAACTAAACTGGTCTAGACCAAAACCGTTTTAAAGGGGTTGCCAAGCTGACAGTTGGGATACGCTACACGAATCATAGTCTTCCATTTAGTTTTGTTAAGGGCCATCTCCTCCATTAAGTTATCTATTATCATATACTTCTTAATTATATCCTATCAAGTTCTCGTAGGTCAGTACCTAGTCCTCCTTGCCACTATTAACTATGATCTCATCACTTCTCGTGATGTGTGCATTTAGTGGTTTTTGTTGTACATGACCAAATTAATTTAAGGAACTATTAAATTAAGAAAGAATGTATTTAGCAAGAAATGAACTCCCACATACTGTAGCCTACGATCATCATTCAGTAGCAAGGAGTGCAACTAAACATGTCAAGAGAAGTCTGATAAGTGTAGGAGACACTCTTCGATGACACACCAGCTCACAGGATTTACTCTGCTATTTTAGCTTCAAAAAACGAGGGAGAGGTTCAAGATATTGACGTCAACAGCCACTTCAATGGATCTCTTCTATCTAGAGTTTTGGAGATTCAAATCGTTGCTCCTTATTTTCCTTTTAGAGATCCTTTCAGACCCTCTATTTTTTTTTATGTTTTCTAATGTTAGCAACAAGATTTCAACTCTTGGGCAAAATCTACTTGAAAGAAGCAATCAGAGATATAAATCTCACAAAGATATCAATATTCATATCATAAACATATACCATCCAACTAAAAATACTTGCCTGCCACAGGATGCAGAGAAGGGATTCCATCTGATTCCGAGCAAGAGAATCGCCAACAAAAGCCAGAGTTTTACCCCTCATCAGCTCCAAAAATTTCCTTCCATCAAAACGTGGAATCTTACATTTGTTTGGTTGTTTGCGTCGAAAATTGTTGTATTCATTGTGGTATTCATTACAACTTTAGTCGTTACAATGAAAACAAAAAAAAGATAATATTTTTTATAAGATCTTTACACAATGAAAACAAAAGTTACAACTCTCGTCAAAACAAACGCAGAGATCGTTTATCGGTCTTCTGCTTGCGTGGGATCTTTGCCTGTGCCGGGGTTTATCCGTGGACCGCCTTAGATCTGGATCCGGTTGATGGAAAATTCGGCAGAGTTTCGTCTTCGCCGAGGAAGTATTTGATTTGAAGCGCTGAGATCGACCAAGCGAAATCAGGGCTCTTCTCGAGATTAAGACCAAGCCTAATCTCAAGGGACGGACGGGAACGGGTGTCGGATCTCTCGAACTCTCCTTCTTTATGCCGAAGAACTCGCCAAGATCTGTTAACACTCACTGAAATTCGTGCTCCTTTGACTCCACAATCCGGCAGCACCTCCTCGTCTTGATAATCAATCGCCCCCAGAAAATGGAGGCCTTTGGCTCATATTTATAGGCTTGAATGCGATTATTTGGATGAGAACAAGTGATTTGGCTCTATCTTCAGTCAACAGCAGCCTAACCACGTTTGGGGATGATCTTAAGTCAGTTAAGAACCCCTGGAACCGATAAACCCTGCAAAAAACCAATTTAAAACCGTCAAAACGTGTTTTGAAACATTAGACTGCACAGCAGAACGATCTGACCCGCGCTCGCGCGGGTCGGATTGATCCGTCCCGCGCTTGCGCGGGTCGGATCATTCCGTCCTGCGCTTAGCGCGGGTTCGCCGACTTTTTTCCCTTTTTTGGTTTCTTTCTTCCGGGATTTGTTCTTGTCGCGTATTCGGTCGATTTGTTGACTTGTATGCTTCGTCGCGAGACCGATCGTCGAACGCATGTTGGTTAATATACGCGTGCTGATTGACGTGCGCGCATTGACTGGCGCGCACGAGGTGATTTGACGTGCACTCGTTGACCGGCGCGCACGAGTTGGTTGACGTGCGCGCGTTGACCGACGCGCACGAGATGATTTGACGTGCGCGCGTTGACCGGCGCGCACGAGTTGGTTGACGTGCGCGCGTTGACTGGCGCGCACGAGTTGATTGACGTGCACGCGTTTGACCGACACGCACGAGTTGGTTTGACGAATCTTCTTGACTCGCCCACTCATTGCTTCGAGTTTCGTGCGGGCTCTCGTAGACAATTTTAGACGCCTACATTGGTCTCCATCTCCAGTTCTCATAGTTCTTATCGGGTCTCCCATTACCCTGGCAGTTTTGTGATTGTGCTATGATAGGGCAAGTGATATTTGTATACAGAGGTCCAGTAGGATCATAGACCCATTTTCCGTGGTAGAGATCGCAGTGTCCTGAGAAATGAGAATGAAATAAAAGGATTATTATGTAATTTATCGGTAATTTGTTTTGAGCTTGTTTCCAAGTTTTAAACTCTAACATATGACAGCAGAACTGAAGTTACACGTAGCGGGTAATGATCACTGTTTAAGAAGATTTTTAAGTGCAAAAATCTTCTTTTATTTACTGATCTCCTCCACTAAATTTTTATATCGTGCACGTACAAGATAACTCAACTATCAAAATATGCACCCATTTGTATCATGAAGAATGCGCAGGCTGGGCAAATTTCAAACACCATTGTATACCTAAGAAAATGTACTTTTATCTTTTCTATTCTGGAAACTCTGTAGACAGACACCTGTTAAACACATGAAGCAGTCTTGTTAAATTCTTTCATACTCCCACCTTGAGATATGCTTTTCCTTTCATTTATATTTATATATTAAAAAGTCTATTTTAGTCAAAGTAATGTGAAAATAGTAAATTGGATGAAATTATTATAATTTTCCGTATCTTTTGACATAAAAAGTGTTATTAAGCCATACAATAGGAAACGAAGAGCCGAGGCCTTTTTAATATCCAGAGTCATACAAACATATCCAATGTGAACTTCTCTTCAAAAGTGTGTAAAGTAAATTTTAGCTTATGAATGCGGGCGTAGCCACTCACCGTTTCATTCAAAATTAAAAAAGATAAAATTTTAGCATATGTAAAGATAGTATCTTATCCTAATATTGAAATGCATCTATGTTTTGTGTGTGCATGTGTGTACGTATCTATATATGCCAATATGTCATCCAGTATTCTCTCTATACAATATTTTAGTGTTTGATGAATTAGATGGAGAAGGGCAAACATGACAGGGTGCAATTCAGTTGAGGGGAACGCATCAAATTTACGCACTTATTATAATTGGGTACATTGGATGATTAAGGGAGAATCATTCACCCTAACAGTACACAGTAGACTATTAAACAAAACATGTGTGGTATGTAGTTGGAGAGATTTTAGACCAATTTTCCGAAAATTTATTTACCGATACATTTTTAAAGGAACAACGAGCAAGTAATGAAAGAACATAGACGAAGCCAAAGACTACTCACTCAGCTTAGTCTTCTTAGAAACTTTCGACGGAGGGGGAGGAAGAGCAGCGACCGAACCAGTCTGATGCAAAGAATCAACAGTACTACCACCAATACCAGAGTCATTTTTCCCAGAATCATCATCGAGAGCAGACGAAATCGAGACATTGGGCTCCTTACTATCACGAACGTTTACAGAAACATGACTGTCAGCATCCAAAGATAATGTGGGAGCAATTGCTGGCACCTCAGCCCCAATATAACTAACAATCCCAGAATCATTTTTTGCAGAACCGTTAACGGGAACGGATGAAATCGATATATTGCCCTGGCCGATAGAAGTACTAGCATCAACAGATAATTCTGGAGCAAATGCTGGCACCTGAGCCCCGATATAACCAGCGGTTTCGGAACCATTTTTCATAGAATCATCGATAAACTCTGATGAAGCTGATACATTAGCCCCCTTGATGTCATTTACAGAACGAGAACCGTTAGAATCTGGCACCTCAGCCCCAAAACTGAACTGTTCATCCCCAACTACCTCATGGGCTTGTTCAGAAAATTCAGGCAACTTGTTCGAAAACTCGGGTTGATCTCCGTTTATTGAATCCAAAGAGGTCTGGCTTGAGTTGCCCACGCCTACGAAGTACCCATTAGTACCGGGATTGGAACCAGTTGGATTGTAGCTGACAAATAGAAATGCAACCACGATAGACAAAAATATGCCTCCGACCGAGATAACAATGAACGAAATTGATCTAGAAACCAGCAAGAAACTTGCCATGTTTCTAAAAAAAAATCTCTATTCAACTAAGCATCTGGTTAGTTTCTCATCAGAGAACTAGATGATAAATTTGGTGGGTACCTCAAAGTCAGGCTCTTCAACCAACCCATGAGATCTGCGCTGAGATTCATAACGCAAACTCCCAAGGATTCAATGGGGGCTAAACCGAGAAGAGAAGATGAAAGACTTTGAAAGAGGAGTGGTTTTTTATGCTAGCTCCTCTCGAGCCCGAATAAAGATTGGGTGAGTGGGAACAGTTGCTTATTTAAGTGAGCAAGGTCGCGTGAGGATTAGCAGTTGACACGGAGAGTGGGACAAGAGCCGCCTTAATTTTTAAAAGTAGGTACCATAATGGAAGAGGTAAACGGCTATTATTACCCTTGGATTGATCAACGAGTAAGTTTTATTTGGGTTAAATTTCAAAAAGAACCCCTGAATTTTGCGTGTTTTGTGCAGAATTCTATATGCACCTTGTAAATTCTAAAGAAAGTCCTCAGTTCGTTTTTTTTTTCTGGTTTGGAAAGGGAACTTCCACGTGATCCCTTCGGATCATAGGTATTAAACCCCTAGGCGTGGCTAAGGAACGCTCCCCAACGCAGGATCGCGGATATTTTGGAAAATTTAATTGCTCATAGGCAGCTTACCAACTTGACCCGACTTTCTTAGATTAATTTGACTCACTTTGCCAACATAGCTGTTATCACTAACTTCACGTGTTAGGTGCTCCCCTCGTGACCAGAAATGGGCATTTCCCCCCAGCCCATCAAATAAATTAATATTTCATTAAGAGCTTTATTAATTTATCAATAAACTTGTGTTGGCTATTCCTTTAGAGCTGGGGGGTTAGTTTTATTTTGTATACAACCAGTTTGGGTAATGTAGGCAATGGTAGAAAATAAAATAAACTTGTGTTGGTTATGTTGGTTATTTTATAGAAAGAATTTTTGAATTTTTTTTGTCACATTCTTCGACCCATCTACTTCTTTATTACTTAAAGTAGAACAACAAAAATGCTAAAATGAACAGTAACCTAAGGTTCTGAACAATGAAATCCTAATAAGCATTTTCACTAGCCACGTTCTCAAAATTTCTGTACTCCCCATCAAACTTCCCTTCCCACGTTCTCCACGATTCCCACGATTCTCTCTTCCTCTTTCAATATTTCATTCCAATCCCCACTTCCTCCTCTCTATGCCCTCTCCCCAAACACAACGAGGTCTCCGAAAGCCCACCAACATTAAGGCCTACAAAGACGACGACCCCCTCCGGTTCCGATCCGGATCTAGATCCGCAAACCCGACAACCCAAACCCACTTCCCACACTTACCCTCCACTTCCAGCTTGCCGGAAAACCTCAAACCCTAACTCAACGGAACTCGCACTGACATCCTGCTCCAGTAGGGCCACAACAGGAGGTCAATGGGCTCGAGAGCGGCCAAGAGCCATCAGACGGCTGCCGATGAGTCTTCGGTCCATCCGAGATCGCATGTCAAGATCCAACGGTGGGTGGCGCTTGTCGGAGCTGAGAGGATGTTCGCGGCTGCTGACGCATCATCGATGCCCATGCCAAGGGTAGCGGGCCGGAGGGGCTGCTTGCCGTTGAGGGATTCTACGAATTCAAGTTGGGGTTTGTCCTTTGTAAAATTGAATTTTTTTCGTTAGCTTCCTGATGTAGGCTGTCTTAAAATTTATAATTTTGATATCTTTGTAGTATTTTCATAATTTTAGTTGGGTTTTATTTGTTTTTTATTTTGATATCTTTGGAGCAAGATGATGATGAAGATAAAGAAACCAAATACCGCTTAGATCCAAAGTTTCTTTTTTATTTAACTTGCTTTTAAAGATTATTCTCTGCCAACTTCTCTTAGATTAATTTTGATTTTAGGTATGCTAATATCAAAACACCAGGGCGACATGATAATTTCACTTCTGTATGTATATTTTCCCTAATGTATTTATTCAACTTGCATATTCTTTCAATATAATACGTTTCAGACATTGCAATATAATACGCTTTAGACATTTTAGAAGTTGCTGTCATTTGCATAGGTGTCCATTGAGGTGCATATAAATTACCAGGTTTTTGGTTTAACATTAGAGCTTTCATTTTGTGAACTGTACAATTTTATGAAGATTCAATCCTGTAGTTTCAAGAATATTTTTCTTGCAAGCAATTCTCTTCAATATTTGACATAACTTTGTTCAAACAATTGGCGGAACAAATCCTTTGCTGGAATTTAAATCAAGTAAACTGTACATAGGAATATATTATTTATTGGATTATGTTTCTATTTGTTTGATTCATCCCATGAGTTAACCCCTCATGAAAGTGAGGCTCCTTTTGTCATTTCAATTTGTTTTCCAGTTTACCCATCACATTATTATAGATTTTAGTTGGATTTTATTTGTTTTTCTTGCGTTACTGCATATAAGTCTTTCCTTTTACATTTTTTAAAGTAAAAATTTGGTATATTTTCATACATGGTTTGCTGTTATGGTTTGTTGTTTATTGTTGGCCATCGACGCCGCTGCCTACGGTGATTCCGGCAAGCGGCGGCGGCGCGCTGATGGATCTTGAAGCCAGCGATGATGAGGTTCAGATGTGGTCCTCTCCGATAAGAATTCCTCAGGTTTCATTTGTTTATCTTTATTGGTTTAATTCATTTTTATGGTTTTCATACTTAATTTAGGGTTCTGATGAGTTCTTGAAAGGATATGATGATTGGAGCAGGACAGATTTCCCCTATTACAATGGTATATGGTCACAAATATAAATAAGGATAAAGATGCGACACATGCACACTTATGGATCAAAATATTAAAAATTTGTCACCTGCATTTGTGTGTTTTTCATCTTTTTTAATCCTTTAAACTGTGTTTTAATCATAATTTGTTATTGACATGATCTGTAGGTATTGAAGATGCATCCTAAAAACCTATATGCTACCAATGGTACTGGAGCTATCTTAGCTGAAAAATGTCACTTTAATGTTTCAAATGATATATTTTCGGAGGTTACTTTTGGTTATGCATCAGCTCTTTTCTTTAGTTAAAAATTTCATTAGTTCTTTTACATGACTTATTTTTATAATTTAGGTGCAAGAAGCTGCATCAGGGAGCATTTTTGTTCAGATGCCAGATGTGTGGGTAAATTTGGGCAATGTTTATTTTGCTCAAGGACATTTTGCCTTAGCTGTGAAAATGGTAATTATAAGAACCCAGGATTTTTTTTTGCAGAAGCATTAAGTGTGACAAATTGCTCTTTTGCAGTACCAAAATTGCTTACAAAAGTTCTACTACAACACAGACACGGAGGTCCTTCTATATTTATCCTTCACTCATTATTAGGCAGAACAATGGAATGAATGTAAAAGAACTTTGCAAAGAGCTATTCATTTGGCGCCCTCAGATTATACGCTTCGGTTTGATTTGAGGGTTGGCTTGCAGAAGTTTTCTGCACCAACACTACAAAAGAAGAAGAGAACTGCAGATGAGGTTATATGCTTCTATTCTTTAAACATCAATTTCATTATCATACACTTCATAGTTTCATCAAATGGGTTCCTGCTAGGAACCTAATTTGTGTTGGGTATGGTTAAACATTACTATTTCCTTGAAATTACACCTAAAGCAAATTACCCAAATTGGGATTCCACGCTATATACAAAGGGCCTTTCTCAACAGGAGATTTTCTGAGATCTTACTACTTTATGTGTTGTAGTATACTCATTGTTCAGATAATTTAAAAAAAATCCCCAGTTGCCCTGTAATCTATGGCTCTTGATAGGATTCTTGCAAGTGTAAGCATGTGTGTCATTATGTGTTATCTTCAGGTGCCTTCTACTCTGTAATGTAACTATGATAGGATTCCAGAAGAGTGAATTTTTGTGCACTTGCGTAATTTGGATTCTCAGATTTCCTTTTTATTTGCTATTTTTGGTAGCATTTGTTTTCTTATAATTTGTTTATTTGCCGGTGATGCTTTTGAATGCTTCTGCAGTGGTTTTTATATGCATTTTCTTTTTTGCAATTCTCATTTGTAGATGTACATGTACACTACTGCTCTTAATGAAAAAAAACAAAAACAAAATCTTCAACTCCTTTTTTTTATGTGATGCTGGCACACAATTAGGCCAAATCGTAATGCACAGGACAAATGTTGTCTCAATTTATTTCTCTGAAGTTGAGTTCCTTGGATTAGATCTGTATATAATACTTTATAACTTTCTCATTAGTTTCATGATTAATAAGCAAACACATATATAACATGCATTATTAGAATCAAACATACATTTAGTTAAATTCTATTAAAAAATTATCGAATCAAATTGTTAATAAACTACCTAATCGAACATACCTTTGGTTAGATTCTATTCATTTATAAGCCGAACACTAAAAATTATTTGTTTAGTACTAAATGAACTATCGAAATAAACTTCTGCGAATATTTGGACGAATAATAACCGAACAGTTTATTAATTATTCGGTTCACTTCCACCGCTATACTTCATATCTAAAGCAGAATACTTTATTTTTTGTAACATGTTCAATATTTGCAGAAAATCTTCTAGAAACCGTACTTTGCACGGGTCTAAATACTAGTTAACAACAATTTGCCAAAACTCCCGGGGGTGGGGGGTTGCGGTTATGAAACTCTATAAGTGTTTGTTCGGGGTTTCGCTCAAAACTCTCCAAAGTTAGGAATGTTTTGTCAAGCTCGCCCTTAGTTATTTGCATGTATTCACTTTATAAATTAAGGTACCGTTTGGCAAAGGTTAAGTGAGGGGTTAAGGTTTCTTAACCCCTTCTTAACACGCCAAACATAAAAATCTATATAAGGGTTAAAGTGAGTTAACCCTCCATAATTTGCCAAACATAAAAAAATATAAAAGGGTTAAGCTAACCCCTCTAGAGGGATTAAAATGAGTTAAACCCTCAAAATGAGGGGTTTACTAATAAAAGGGTTAAGCTAACCCCTCTAGAGGGATTAAAATGAGTTAAACCCTCAAAATGAGGGGTTTACTAATACTCCTATTTAGAAGGATTAAGAGTTAGGATTAAAATGAGTTAAACCCTCAAAATGAGGGGTTTACTAATACTCCTATTTAGAAGGATTAAGAGTTAAGCCCTCTAATTATAAAGAAAATAGTCAAAATCATTGTTATTCCCAAACACTAAATCTGATCACAAGAGCTAAAATAAAATTTATTTAACGGGTTAATAATTTAGTCCTTCAGATTATCGAATGGGCTAAGTACATTAATCCTTCTCTTTAACCCCTCTTACTCAACCTTTGCCAAACGGAGAGATTAAAAGTAATATGCTTGCATAAAGTACCAAATAGATCCACTTTAAACTCTCACTTCAGAAAGCTTCAGTGCTATGAACGCCATATCCATATTTTTCGATATGATTTTCTGATTTTAAACTAATTCAATTCTGAATTCAACCTCAAATTTTGGATCTGACTCAGACTGCAAGAGTGTTTCTTCTAAAATAATCTTCATCCTCATCTTCTTTTTAAAAACATGATCTCAAGTACTATAATCTAACTTTTGATCTCATACTACTGACTGGTACTATATCGTACATTTTTGAAGATTTTTATACATACTTATCGAGACTCATGTCACATCTAAGCCGCTATCTTTTTGTCTAGTTAAATATCTTTTACATATTGGCTGCAAAATTTTCCATAATTTATATTCACTCCCTTAAATCTTTGAAATTTTTTATATACAGGTCCCTCAAATCATAAAAGTGCTTGCATAACATGATTAATTAACAACAACAATGCTGAAGTCTTTATCCCAAACTTTTGGGATCTGTAACATGAATATGATTCCAAGTATCCTAGTCTAAGGTTTGATTAAACATAACTTACAATAAAGAATTCTAAGAAATCTTGGATTCCAAAAGGAGCTACCCAATTTAATAGACAGATACTTATATATGTAGCAAATATCAGAGTATATTGTCAGAATTCTCTCTTCAAAATCTCAAACAAAACCTCATTCCAAGTATCCACAACCCCTGGCGTGCACCAATGCAAACAATCCTCTGGTGCATTTTCCTTGCTCACATTTCTATTATACCTCCCAGGATGGCCGTCATTTCGATAACCAGACATCTCCGTAACGTCCATAAATTTCAACTTTGACCCACTCGTCCGCCTTCTCGCTGCCTTCTCAAACTCGACAACCTGCATTTTCTGCATAGAGTTTGTATTTCTACTCCTCACTGATTCTCTCGCAGGCTTATCAATTCCAGTACACTTTCCACCGGTATTCCATTCTCCACGTTGATAATGCTCGGGTGAATAAGAGCGTAATACTGTCAACCCCGTGTAATTTGAAGCTTCAAGAATCGCATTTAGGGCTGTTTGTACTGCTACGCCATAAAACTCGATGACATCCTTGAAGGATTTCTTGGTGGGGCTGAGTTGGCCGCCGACGATTGTGTTGTTGAGGCGGTAGGTTGATTCAGTGCTGAACCAGTGGCCTGAGGAGATGACAAGAACATCGAATTGGGGGAGGAAGTCGATGAAGTTTCGGTGGGGGGTGTCGATGTGAACGTTGAGGGTGCGTGGAGTTGAGACGGGGAAGGGGTGGGCGGTTTTGTGGACAAGCCATTGTGACCATATTCGAATGATGTTGGTGGAGGTTGATCGGAAGTGCCATTTGTTAATGTGACCTTTGGTATGGTCGACGGGGACTTCTGTCTGTACAAAGAGAATAACGATTGTTATAAGTATGACATAGGAAACAAGAAAAACAACAATACTTTATTTCAAAATTTTAGTGTCAAAGCTACATGAACCATATTCTTCCATATTCTTCCATTCAATTCTGTTGAGTACTATCTTCACAATTTAACTATTATCATATCCTTGCTAATTGTTTCCTATCAACTCTCTTACGTCTGCATTTGGTCCTCCTTGCCACTTTTCCTAATATGTGCATTTAGTGGCCTTCACGGTATCGCTATTTTGGACTTACTATCTCCTAACTTGGAAGGGTTTATTATGGATAGGCCCCCTGTAGTATCGTTATTTTGAACTTACTACGCTTTTAGTTTTATTTTTGCAAATAGACCCCTTAGAAAATTAATTTCGACTCTTTTACCCTCAGAAAGAGAAAATATGTTTTATCAAATAGACCACCTGAGGGTAAGAGAATAAAAGTTTCACTCAGTAAGTTCAAAACATAGATACCATAGGGGTGTCTATCCACAAATAATCCTTCCACATTTTTTTGGGGTGGGTTACCTGAATCTAATTCTTCCATTCAGCTTTATTAAGGGTTATGTCCTTTGTTAACTATTATTGTATTATTCTTGATTCTTGATTGCTTCCTATCAAATTCTCTTAGGTCTGTCTCTAGCACTCTGTTCCCTTGTTAACTATCATATTATTGCTTCTTATAATTTGTGCATTTAGTGGCCTTCATTATGCGATCCCAGTCAATTTTTATCACTAAAAGAAAGAACTATCTAAAAAAACATATTTAACAAGAAAAGAATCTATGATAATATAGTCTATGCTCGCTTTTCAGTGGCAAGAAGTACAACTAAATGTCAAGAAAAGTCTGATAAC